GAAGCATTTTTTAATGATTAGAAGAGAACAGAAAGCCAGAAAGAATCAGAGTTAAGAAGGACCGCTTTGAAAGTTATGTTTTTAATTTAGTATGTTGTATATAATATTCTCAACTTCATGTACCCTTTTCTATTCTACTATATATATGGAAATATCCATTTTATTTTTTGCTAAGTTCAGAATGCAAAAAACCCTTACAAAGTGGATAGAAAATGTTCTAAAAAGCAGAACAAAACAAAATATCATTGTCTCATACACCTCGAAGCAGCCTTCCTATTCCTTTTTTCATCTTCTTTTTGCCCTCAAAATAACTATAAATTAATCCCTTTTTTATTGCCTTAATATTCCTTGAGAGGTAGTGTGACAAAATGAATAGAGAGTTAGCCTCATAGCTAGAAAGACCTGGGTTCAAGCTGTACCTTTGGCCTGGCATGGGTTTGTGCCTCTATGCAAATCACTTATCCTCTCAGTATTTTAGGCAATTCTCTAAAAGAATTGGTTGCTAAGTTTGCTGACTTATTGGTACTGGTAGTGGGACCTTCCTCCCAAGGGAATTTCCCTATAATGAAATAGCAGGTCCAGTTCCTGTCTTTTATATTCCTTAACAACATCAGCTCACTCTGGGCTTTTTAGTATTCCTGATTCTCAGGACCATGTGACTTGCCTGCATTCATCCTCAGTTATTTGCCCCTACTACCATCTTCTATAAAATTGGTTGTCAAATTTAAGTTGGTCACTGAATTCCCTGTGAAGTTACATGAATCTCATGAGACAATTTCCCCCCTTTTATTCATTGGAATCACTTCTTTATGTCCTCATTTTGTTTCTGAAAACTTCTCATTTTCCTTAAGTCATTTTTTCTGCAGACTCTTAAGCCACTAGATCTTTACTTACCCTTTATTTGAACATTTTAAAATCTACTTGCTAGATTTAGAATATAGGTCAGACTACATTCTTTAGGTATGGTGAACTTTAAGATGACATGATAACTTTTCCCCAAGGTTCTTGCCACTTCTTTTTTGACAAATGCTTCTTCCTTGTTAAACTGAATTGAATTGAAATTGAACTCCCATAGCCTAGGGTACACACTACTACACATTCTAGCTCTTGATTCTTTCTCCCTGAGTGGCATCTCCAAAAAGACTGTGAGCTCCCTGACCTCAGGGACTGCTTTTCCCCTCTCCTCCAAACGGCAGTCAGTGCGTGTTTGGTTCATGGACTTGATTCCACCTCACCGTGGGTGGGTGAGTGGGGGCTGAGACAGTCTTTGTACTCTAGTAGGAAGAGGTCTGTAGGGAAACAGCAAAGTCTTTGGCCATCACTGGTACCTTGTGCCCAGCTCTGAAAGAGCAGGGAGATGTCCAAGCCCATCCTCCAGAGCCCTCCCCTGACTTTTCTTAGATGGGGGGTGAGGGCCTCTCCCACCCCCCCGGCCCCCTCAGATGGGAAGCAGAACCAGGAAGCTTCCCGCAGGGGAAGGTGCATCTGAGCCCCGCCTGACTCTGCTCCATCATTCATCCCTCCCCCGCCCTCCCCAGCCTGGTCCCCATCGCTGCGCTCCCGAGCCCAGCCGAGGGGGGCGGGGCTCAGGTGGGGAGGGCGGGAGGCGGGGCTTCGGGGCGGCCTCCCGCCCCAGAGCTTGGCCAATGGAGACGGCCCCCCGTGCGGCTCAGCCAATGGCGAGGCGGCGGCGGCGGCGGCAGCGGCTGCGACGCGCGCGCGCGCGCGCGTGGGGGCTGCTACCCGGCTCCAGTGCCCGGGCCGGGCCGGGCCAGGCGACTGGGGGCGGGGTTCGTTGCTGTTTTTGCAGTCGCCGGAGCCGCAGCCGTGGCCGGAGCCGGGGCTCGAGCGCCTGCAGCCCGGCTCGCCGGCCCCGGGTTCCGGGCTCCGGGAGGCGCAGCGTTACGGAGGCTCCGCCGGAGGGAGCCCGGGCCGGAGAAGCGCCCCGCAAGGCGAGGCCCCGGAGCGTGCCGCACCCGGACCCGCAGCCGGAGGAGGACGAGCCGCCGCCCGGCGGCCCCCTGCGGCAGCCCCGGAGCAGCGCATCCCTGGAGCTCCGGCCCCAGCCTCGGGGTCGCCGCGCTCCGGACCCAGGTACCGGCCCCGCCCGCACGCCCCCCCGCGCTGACCCCTGCAAAGTTTCCTAGCGTGGGTCTGCGTGCACTCCCGTGGGCCGCCCCTCCGGCCGTCGCCCCCCCCCCCCACGCCCGCCTCTTCCTCCCAACCTGGGCAAAGCTGGGGGCCCGGACCCCGAGGGAGGATGCGGAGGTAGGACGCGTCTGGTGGGCATCTGGGTGTTTCTATTTCCCTGCCGTGGGGGGAGGGGGATCGATCCCCTAGCTGTGTCACTGGGCCCGTGCCCCCCACCCCCATCCCCACCCATGTACGGTGAAGGGCCCCTCCGGACTGGAGCTGGGGCGGGGGAAAGGGAATAGACCGGGGGAAGGGTGCGTGTGAGCAGACCCCTACAGGGCAGACCGCCTTGGAGAAGCAGCTGCCCCTTGGTGCCCTCCCTCCGGTGTCACTGGGGCCCCCATGCCACGGGTCATAAAGCCCCTGACCACGCTGACCTTTCTGAGGTCAGTGCATTTCCCTCTCCTATTCCTGGGAGCTGCCCTCCTCAAGCCCCTTAAGGTCCTTTGGCCTTTGCTTATCTCTGCCTGTGCCACCCATCTCCCCCCCCCCCACCAAGCTCAGAGATGGATATATTCCCATACATAAACGTGCACAGGTATAACGAACCTACTCTTTGGGAAAGATTTTATTCCTTTGCTTCCTTTTCCTACCTGTTCCCCCCTCCCAACCCCCAATATTGAATTGAAGTAGGAGTATTGGGAACTCTGAAGGAGAGGGCCCTGGAAAGGGAGGTGGAAATCTCTGACTCTTGTTCTCCTCCATAAACATGTATTACCTACATGTCCATGCAAGATGATTTTTTTACTGCTTTCACCCCAGTCCTCTTTGACTGGGAGTCTGGGGAAGGAGACCCATCTCCTGGGAGCAGCTTGGCAGGAACCCCACCCCCCCAATTCAGTAGCCTGTATTACTAAAGCTGGGGGAGGGGGAAGAAGGCAAAACTGATGGTGGCCCAGCAAGGCAGAGAGGGCCTCAGCATGGGAAAATTGAATGTTGTCCTTTACCCCAGAAATAGAATCACTCCTTTCTACCATCTGTTGCCTGGTTCTCGGGCCTACCTGTAGCCTCAGTACCATGAGAAGGCTAAGACATAGGACAGAGATAGGGGCCTGAACTCTGGGTCTAGACTCTGTGGTCTGTCCCTGGTCTGATGGGGAGACAAGCTTTCTGCTTTCCAAGAACCCCCAGGTCTAGGTTAGGAGTGGATTCCCTATAGCCCTGGAGATTGATGCTGGGTGCCTGACAAGTAGTGATCAGGGTCAAATAACTACTGTATCTCCATACTCGGTTATGAGGATGGACACCGGAGCTTCCAATTTTGCTGTTTCACCAACTTTCAAAAACTAAATTTATGATAGGATTTTAAGATTTATAGCTAGAAAGACCATAGAGATCATCTGGTCCAATCTCATTTGATAAAAGAAAAATTGGTCCACATAGGGGAAAGGACTTTCCCCAAGATCACATAGTAACAGAGCTAGGATTTGAACCCAATTCAGACCACTGAGGATTCACCTCCTGTATTGTGAATTTAGCTGAGGAAAGGACCTCTCTGTGGCAAAAGTGTATCCTCCCACATTGCTGTCCTTCGAGGGTAAATACACTTCCCCTACTATGGCAGAAAGAGCTGGGCAGTGGTAGAAGTTAGTGACAGGGAAGGGGACCTCCCAGTCCTACTGGGGAGACATTCCCCATCCCAAGCCCAGTTCTAGGGGTCTGCTTGGCTAATGAGATTTCTGTTCTGCCTCCAGCCCCGGGCCAAGGTGAAAGCTTCTCAGCAGGGCAGGAGCAGTGAGTGGACATCCTTCGAGGGACAGCACCTCTCTGCTCCCTGGATCCCTGGGTACTGGCTGCCTTGGGCCCTCTTCCCGGTGCCTCCATCTTTCCTGCCAAGGCCCCCAGGGATGGGCTGGGGCCCAGGGGTTGAGCTGCCCATGGTGGCATGTGGGGGGTGAAGGAAAGCCCCTGTCCTGCGATGGGGGCGGGGCTCTCCACTGGGGCCATCATCGCCATCTCCTTCAATGGTGTTGCTGCCCTCTTGCTTTTGCTGCTCTGTACGATAGTGTGCCGGGCCTGCCGGGTGCACCCAGTGTGTACTGGTGCTGAGAAGGTGCCCGCATCCCAGCAGTCTCAGCAACCCCAGGAACCCCAGCAATCCCAGCAACCCCAGCAACCCCAGCAACTTCAGCAATCACAGCCGAGGCACGAGGGCAGCCATCTACTGCAGCCCTGACATCTGACATCCTGGGATCACCTAGCCTGCCCGGACTGCCGAGTCCCTATGGAAGGAGGATCCCATGGACCCGAAAAGACAAGGGGAGAGGAGGGATCTCCCTGTTCACTCTATCTGTCTCCCATGAGCCATGGACTGGCCCCTGGGAAGTCAAGGACACCCTCTACTTCCCTCCTCCCATGTCTGCTCCCCTCATGGAGCTGATCCCGCCTGGGTTGGGGCCTGAGTAAGCCTGTGTTCTGGGCTTGAGGCAAAAGGTGGGAGGAATGGAGGTGACTGGAGTGAGGCTGTTTACCCTCTGGGGCAAGAAGGACAGGAGCTGGCCAGACCAGACAGAGCTGGCCCCTGGGAATGGGTGGGACAGAAGCCAAGTTATTCCCTACTGGGGAGAGTGGGAGCTCTTGAGAGTTGCTTCTGGTTCCTGAAGCTGATGGGGCCAGGGAGCCCCTGCACTAGGGTTCATGGGGCAGGCAGGGAGTTGTGCCATCCCACCCAGACCTGATCATTTGTGTGTTTGGTGGGTGGGCAGACCAGCCTGGGCAAAGCCATTGCAATAACCCAGGAGGGTGCATCTGTGCCCTCTCCCAGGGTTCCACTGCTGTTTTTACTAACAATAAAACTGCATTGTGGTTCAGCTGTCTCTTACAGTGTCTGTGTCTGGGCAGGGCAAAGAACCCTGGAACCAAGCAGGCAAACTCTGAGACCTGTTTATTTGTCTGGGAGGGTGTTGAGGGTTACTGGGCCAGTGACCTTTTGTGTGTCCATAAGGGAGGGGATAGTTAACAGCCATCAAAGGCACATCTGCAGGGATCTCTTTCTTGGTCCTTTACTTCAGGAGACTGAGACCACTGACGTTGCTCAGGGGTATGGTTATGGGTTCGGGAGTTGGGGATGCGTGATGCACGACCACTGCCGTTGTGTGGGCCTTAACACTGAGGGAGGAAGGTACATCTGGGTTTAAATTTAGGGGGTGGACTGGAGGCCAGGTTGGGGGAAGGGTTATCCAGGGCTGGCACCTGGTCTCAGACATATCAAGTGCTGTCCCAGTCAGGTCAGGAAGCGGAGGTGCTGCAATCTGGGGACAGCCCAGGTCAGCTCTTCACTTCCCTCACGAGGTTCAACAGTTTGTCCAGTTTGGCAACCTCTACTTCTGGGCCTCTCTTCACCTCCTGCCCCTTCTTCTCCTGTAATAAATCACACAGAGGGGTGAAGAGGTGAAGGGGTGGGGAAGAGAGGAGAAGTGACAAGAGGTCTTGGACCAGAGACATCTGGCTTCTCTGTTGAATTCTTCTTGCTTCTCCGTCTAAGCTGACCCCCCCACCCTGAGGCCACTAGGATGGCCTGAGACAGTCATTCATTCATGGCTTCTAGATGTACAGGGTTAAGACTACATGGCAGAGATGGGGCAGGGGATGACAGTTCTTGGGGGCTTTCTGACTTATTTGACTATAGCCCTTGCTAAATGACTTAGAGGTAGTTTTTAAGAATGGAGGATTAGTATTTTGGGGGCTTTGGTGGAGGCTGGGTACACAACCACTCTTGCTCTGAGAGACAAGACATCCCCTTGGGAACAGCCTGGACAGGACAGAGAAGGGAAGTCCGAGTTACTCCTCTACCCAGTAGCTTCCTTAGGAAGAGGACATCACAGCCCCACTGACTTAGCCTGTTTACTGGGAAGATGAAATCAGTAGTCCACATTTCTATAGCTCTTCAAAGTTTACAAAGCACTTTTCTCATTTCACTCCTGTATAGTGGTTAGTACAATTTTACCCCATTTTGCAGATGAGCAAAGTAAGGCTCGAGTTGTAATTTGCTCTGCTTTTCAGAGTTTGTGTCAGAACCAGGACTTGAGTCCCGTTGACCACCTGAGATAGGGTGGCTATAGGTCCCTTTGGTTCGGAGACCTCTGATCACTCTGAGAAGTCAAGGAAGGACAAGGAGCAGCAGTCCAGAGCCATTGGGTGGGGCAGGGGCGATGGGGCAGTGGAGCTAGGCCAGCCTTGCATGCCATGTAGGTGGAGAGGTCAGAATGGAGGGTATGGTGGAAAAAACACCGGACTTGGAGGCCGGCGTGTATTAGTCTCAGCTCTGTGATTTATTATCATCTTGTCCTTGGGCTGATACATGTTGCCGTCTGTAGCTGGGGCCTTGAAGAGGAAAACTAGGCACTGTTGGGGGGAGCGGGTCAGGGAAGATTGGCTTCTTAGATCTTTCATTATATAGAATTGTAGATGCCTGACCAGGAATGGAGGGCTCAACGGGATCACTTACTGATTCCTTTATACAATAGTATCAACAAGCATTTTTTAAGTGTAAGATATTATAGTAGGTGCTGGGGATACGGAGATACACCTGTCTACAAATAAATAGGACTGTTTCAGGAAATGTATGGAAGAGGCCCTGAAATATGAAGAATACTGGGAGTGATAATAGTTCAGTTGTTGCTCAATCATGTCCGACTCCTTGGGACCCCTTTTGGAATTTTCTTGGCAAAGATACTGGAGTGGTTTGCCATTTCCTTCTCCAGTAGGTTAAGGCAAACAGAGGTTGAGTGATTTGCCCAGGGTCACACAGTTAGTGAGTGACTAAGGCCAGATTTGAACTCAGGTCTTCCTGACCCCTGGCCCAGCACTCTATCCACTGAGTCACCTAGCTAACTGCCTCCTAGGCAAACAGAGGTTAAGTGACTTGCTCAAGGTCATACAACTAGTAAGTGTCTGAGGCTGGATTTGAATTTAGGCCTTCTTGACTCCTAGCCCATTGCTCTATCCACTGCACCACCTAGCAACAGTAGATAGAGCAGTGGGCCTGGAGTCAGGAAGACCTGAGTTCAAATCTAGCCTTAGACACTTATTAGCTGTGTGGCTCTGTGTGAGTCACTTAACCTCTGTTTGCCTCAGTTTCCTCAAATGTAAAGTAGGGATAGCACTAGAAAGACTGTTGTGAAGATCATTTAAGATAATATTTGTAAAATGCTTAGCATACTGTCTGGCAGATAGTAGGTATTATATACATGCTTACCCGCTCCCCCTGCTTTAGATTAGAAATTTCCAGGGGTGTCCCACATACAAGGCACATCCCCTGTCAGGCCTACTGCTCTATGGCTGTTCTCATAGCAAATCTTCAAGAGAGAGATTTAGGAGCTCCTTTTAAAAGGCCTGGGAGACGTGGTAATTGTGTTTCTGGTTTTCTAGTGGAGAACAAAGTACTTTGATAACTGTCAACAAAGTGTCAAGTAGATGAACTTAACAGGCTGACTTTACGAGTCAGCCCTTGGCAGCTCCAGTTAAAGCTTAGAATAAATTGGGGAGGTAGGAGAGGGCATAGGGGAGGAACACTGAGTCGCTTTACTGAAAAAATTGACATGTTTGTTTTTGTATCACTTATATTTCCCAGTGTGCCCCTTCTCCCCTTCCTGGAGAGCGATCCCTTATTACAAAGAATAATGGGGTTGGGGGAAGGGGAAACCAGCTAGGCAAAACTAATCAGTACATCAATTTTGTCTGACATTAACCGTAGTGTTCCACACCTGCAGTTCCCCACCCTTGCAAAGAAGAAAGGGAGGTACGTTCTCATAGTGCTTTTCTGAGGGCCTTTTCTGAGGAAATGATATCATTATAATTTCAGAGCATTCAGTTTAATTTGTTCTACTGTTGTTCTTTTCATTTACCTTGTTGAAGTCATTGTGCATATCGTTTTCCTGTTTCTAATTACTTTTCATCAGTTCATACAAGTCTTCCCATGATTCTCTGTGTTTGGCATAGTCATTGATTCTTATATCACAGTACTATTCCATTACCTTCATGTGCCACACCTTTTTTTTTTAACTGTTTCCCAGTTGATGGGCCTCTTAATTTGTTTCTAGTTGTTTGCTACTACAAAACATGCTCTTATAAATATTTTGGTATATATGGGACCTTTTCTTTTTTAAAATTCAAATTATTGCCCTTCTTGGGATATATGCCGAGCAGTGAGATCTTGGGGACAAAGGGTATGGAGATTTTGGTCATTTTCTTAGCAAAATTCCAAATTGCTTTCTAGAATGGTCAGCCCAACTCGCAGCTCCACCAAAAATGTATGAGTGTGCCGGTCTTTTCCCCAGTCCTTCCAACATTGACTCTTCCCATCTTTCATCATCTTTGACAATTTGCTAGACGTGAGGTAAAATCTCGTACTTGTTTTAATTTTTAATTTTTCTTATTAGTGATTCAGAGCATTCTTTTATATGGTTGTTAATAGTTTGGAATTAATCTTTTTGAGAGCTGCACGTTCATATCCTTTGGCCATTCATCTGTTGGGCTTTAGTCTTACACCTGTGTCAGTGTCCTACATGTCTTGACTGTCAGACTCTTGTCAGGTATCATAGCTGATCACAGATAGAGAGCTGAAAACGGATTTCAGTGGCCATCCAATCCAACCCTCTCTCTTTTAGCAGATGAGGAAACTGAGGCAGGGTAGTAGTGGTGAAGTAACTGGTCCAGGGTCACAAAGATATTAAGAATCAGAGGTAGTATTTGAACTTCTGCTTCTGGAGCAAGTGTACCACCCTTTCCTTCATCTGTTTGCTTCACTTCTTATCCTACTCGTGTTAATTTTGTGCACGAGCTCTTCAAGTAATAATAGGTATTTAATAAATACTTATTATTTGATACATTTCTGTGGGAGAAAGCTTTTTCGCCCCGCCAAATAGTCATCATTACCACCGCCAACTCTAATATGAGACAACAACAAACATTTACTGAGATCTGGTTGGTAGAAGACTTGTGTGTGCTTTTAGTAGATACAGAGAAATACTCTGAGGGAAGAAACCATACATTCAGCTTCCGTGGAGAGCTTTTTTAAAAGAAGCCTCAGGAGGCATCAGGCATGGAAGGGTAAAGTGGTGAGCAGTGAAAAACACTTTTTAACCTTCTTTTTAATGCATACATTTTTAATCCCAAGAAATACTATTGCTTCTGGCACAGTGTCAAGCTTCAGTGTGATTAAGTATTCAGTATTATTAAGCTTCCGCAGAAAGAACACTGGATTTGGAATCAAGTGCAATGTTGGAATGTTGCAACTAGACACAGAGGACCTGAGTTCAAGTACTAGCTCTGCCTCTTACTACTCATGTGACCTTAAGTCTCTTAACCTCACTGGGCCTCAGTTTCCTCACCTGTAAAATGAGGGGGTTGCTCTAGATGACCACTTCCTTTGTGATTGTCCTTTGTATGATAACAGAGTAACACCAGATGATCTCTGAGGTTCTTCAAGCTCTAAATCACAAAATGACCAAATTTCTAAGTTGGAAGGGCCCCTCGGTGCCTGTCTGGTCCGGTACACACCTGAAAAAAATCTCCTCAACAATGACCCAAGTTGTCAGCCATGAGGGGTGATTCATCACCTGTCAGGGCAGCAACCCATTCTACAGTGCCTTGGAACAGCCCCTCTAATTATTAGGAGTTTTCTTTCTTCTTTCAGGCCTAAATCTCCGTTGTAACTTTTATCCATTGTTACTAGTTCTGCCTCTGGGGCCAAATACGACAAAGGTAAATGCTCTTTCTATGGCCCTTCAGCTACTGAAGACGGGTCTTTATATCCCTCTTCTAAAAGCGAAATATCCTCAGTTTTTCTGACCGATCCCGATATGAGATTATCCTGAGACCCTTCAGCATCCTGGATACCTTCCAACAATGTCTAAATTTCCTAAAATTGACTCTAAATCCTGTGATACTATGAAGGATGGTAACTGTGGATTTGTAGGGGTGCAAGAGACCTCGGAGATTATCTAGGGCTAGGCTAAGCCTTAGGCGAATCAAGTCAGATTGTTACAGGGAAAACTGAAAGGCCCCTTCGTGCTGTGGCTGCACGACTGTCCTATTCTGCTTCCAGTTCGTAAATGCTCTAAACTGTGACTCTGCTCACTGCCCCAGGTCCTGCTTTCTTGGACACACATAGCATGAGGCTAATCCTTCTTCCCCACAACAGCAAAGTAGGACCATAGTATTCCGACCCCATGGCATCTTACAGATCATCTAATCGAATGCCTTCCTTTTTTATAGATAAGGAAACTCTAGCCCAGAGGTCACACAGTGGGGAGCAGAGCTGGGATCTGAACCCAGATCCCCCAACTACAAATTTAGCATTCTTTATGTGACTTTCCTCCATCTGAAGATGGATGTCACATCCCACTAAGTCTCTTATA